TTTTTTTTTATTTCTCTTTGTGGACCCCTCTCTTGTAGAGGCCCCGAGGCAGTACCTTAGTTCCACCTGCCCTCCCGTCAAGAGAAGAAAGGGAAACGAGTTTACTTGTACATTAGCAATGCTCGTTTGACAAAGCTTTTACTTCATCTTCAACGTAACACCAAGATGTTTTCCCCTTCTTCGGGTAATATATATGCTAAGTATGTGCTAGTTTACAAAGCCGTTTCCAGTCCTGCAAACAATTTCTCAACTCAAATCTATCATTAAGAAAACATTGAAACTCATGTCAAAATAGCAAAGTTCATATAATTGATTTAGAATTTTTCCTTAAGATTGCTAAGTAACATCGGTATGAAAAAAAAGAAGCCAGGTATGCTAGGAATACTTTTCATTTCTCCACATATTTTGCGAAAAAGTGTATATTTTAAGAAAATCGGCATAGTTAATGAGTTGTACTGCGAACCCCCATTTAAACTCTTTCCTTACCCCTGGGGGTACGCCTATCCCACTTTGAGAAACACTGTCTAGACTCTAGACCATCGGTTGGAATATCTATAAAAAAAAAATAAAAAAAAATCATGAGACGTCGAGAGCTCTTGGGCTTCTTTTGAACCAACCTGTTCATGAAAAAAGTTGCCTAAACAAATGTCTCATACGATCGTATGTCTTCTATTTATGTCAGAGTTTGCTTATTAACAAGCAGGACCGGCCTTAGGCCGATTTTACCAATTTCTCCTAATTGGGCCCCGCACCTGGCAGGGGCCCCGTAATTTACATTTAACATACCAATATCAGTCATGACTCTTGTCACATGCTTTTGAAGATGTAGGACTTAAAGGGTTAACATATCATACGATAGGGGTAATTTTAATTGACACCATACAATTAAATAGCATAACGTCAATTTTTTTTTTACTTTATGAAGGCTACTGAATTTCATATTTCTGTAGTTCTTTTTAATAGTACCTGCATAGCGAACTAGTTAGTTTGCAATCAGAAATTCAAATAGCAAGGAACTTCAAAGTAACACCATGGATGTCGCAGGGCTAACATTATTTGAAAAAAACAAAAACAATTGTGATTGGTGAAAGACATACTGAGAGGTAGACATTAGGGCTGCTTTGATTGATGCTAATGAGCTTGCAACTGAGTTAGATGTTGACCCCCGTGTTTCAAGAGAAGCTCGGACGAAAAAAAATAATATTTATTCATGAATCTTCTCTTTGAACCCATTTCAGACCCGAAGGCAGAATTTAGAGTGAACTTTTTCTATCAAGTTGACAAGGCATTGTAATTTCTTCAACAATGTTCGGTTTATACTGCTGAAGGAGCATCAACATCTGTTTAATTTTCCTAATATGACAAAAGACAATATAAGAAAATGTTCAGATTGGGTGTCGTAAACATAACGTGTACAAACCTATTACTAGATAGACGGACCGACAGAGTGAGTGGATATAAGCTTGTAAAAATAGGGAGAAAATATAACATTTTGTGAACAACACTTTAAATGAGCAAATATACCCAAGTTGATGACGTCTTTAGCATTTTTTTTAGAATAATATATTTTGTTTCGTCTATTTTATACCATTGGAAGTCTTAGAGAATATCTTATTACTTACTACTTCATTCACGCCGTTTGATAGACAGTAGTTTCAGCTATTAAAAATGTACAGGCATATGCTGCGATAAAAAAAGTTTTTGAAATCATCTAGTTATATTTTCTAATAGATAAGATAAGAAAATTTGTATCGGTCCAATCAAATGGAAATTCAGTTTGACTACAAATGACCACCTCATCTAAACTACTGTATCAATGACATTATAAATAAATAATTTCTATCAATGGACAAACAATAAGAAGATATACACGCTAAAATCAACCCAAAAAAAAGTCCATATCTCCGATGGTCTTAAGCGACCCATGGCTAATCGACATTCGATCCCTAAGTTGGTCGTGATGCTAAGGTTGAGAGCCGCTGCTCTAGACTCTGTGAGCCTACCAAATACACACGCCTCTACACGCACCAACATGTGCATCCAAGAACTTACCCAAACAGGCAACCAAAAAGAAAACATTTTATTAAACGTTTATAACAATCCTTTTTTGTTCTTTACTGCCTTTCTTAAAACTAGACCTAAATATGTTCTGTAGATTTTTCTTTTTTTTTTTTTTTGGTTGACGAATTTTTATTTTTTACTTTATTTAGATCTACTTTGTGTATTATATACACTGTAATAATACTCTAGGAAATGTAATGGTTTTAACAGTAAAAAAGTGGAGGACAAAAAATCTGGCAATGGCCTCATTCCACACTATACAATTTGTTAGTTGCTACGCCATTTTGGATTGGATTTATTTGTTGATTAATAGAAGACTATCATAAACATAAGATGGGCCGCAAGAAGAAGAAGCAGATGAAACCCTGGTGTTGATATCCTTTTTATTGTTATTAGATTTCTTTCTATATGTAGATCTAGACATATATTTGATGATCTAGATCTAGTATCATCTACCCATTTTCTGAAGTCTAACTTTCTTATATAAATAAAATCATGGCGTCAGTGCCGTCAGACGCTTTTACTGACTTTTTGTAGAATAGTGTGACAGTCACAGTGTGAGTGTCAGTAGTGTAGACTTAAGTTTAGGCTTAGATCAGATCTAGATTACTAGAAAAGTAGATTTAGTAGTCTATTCTAAGTAACAACAGTAACGGTCGTTAGTCTATTTATCAGTAGTAAACCAAGAAGAGAGTGTAAAAATGTTTGTTTGTTTGTTTTACATGTTTCGGATGTTCCTTCAGAGTTGAAGATAATTACTTCCTAGTCCAAACCTCCCGCAGGACGACGGGGGATGGGAGCGGGCAGGGTTTGAACCCTGGACCATCGATAAATCTGAACGACAGTCCAGCGCGCAAACCGCACGACCAGGCAGCCATCCAGACGGTGTAGACGGTGTTGGTGTAATGTTTATAATAAATCAATTAAATGTTAGGTCTATCTATAATCTATGGGCCATCATGACTTCTTTACTTTGATATTTAGATCTAATAAAAATACTAATATTTATGAAACTAGCATGCTGTATAAGTGCATTATGTGCAGTGTCCATTTTCCAATGATTCTGACCCAATTTCCTTCCATTTAGCTGTCTTTTATGTAAGGAAAGAGAATTACAACTTATTTGTAAGTCAAGTTGTTGTTTTTTTCTGTGTTACCAGAATGACTTTACCTCTTCCCAGGGTTAAGACTATATTTTTTTGTTGGCTTAGTCTATATGTTAATAAGCCCGGCTATATTTATTGTTTTTGCAGCTGATTTGTTTGATTCCATATTGCATATAAATTAAGATTTTTTTTACCAAAATTTATTTCAAACAGCCAGTTTTGGACATCAATGTTAATTATCTTAATATTTGTTTGTTTGTTTTTGTTTTTTTCATAGAGAATAAATGGGCAAATGTTTGGAGTGAGCTGCCTTAATTCATTCAATGAAGTTAAATGCCTAGATTGGCATAGATCTAGAATCTAGATTACTTGTAGATATATCTAGATTATTCTAGATTTACATAGAGAGCATATAGAGGATTCAGCTATTTAGGCAAGAATGGCCATATTAGTCTGTACTATACTACAAAAGATCATCTGTATTAGAAATTTATTAAATGAATAAACATTCAACACACATCTAATCATGCAAACATAAAATAAGTCTAAAAGTCGATGTAGAAGTCACTATCCCAGTGACCTAATTTTGGTAGAATAAGTGCGTTCATATTTTTAATTTTGTGTTTGTATTTATGCATAATTTAAAAACATCTAACGATTTCATGAGAGGGGCTATGCCTGGGGATCTAAAAATTTAGTTAATATCAATATCGAGTTCAAATCTGAGTTTATTGATGCCAAAATATAGAGACTGGAATAAATTTTGGTGTTTGGAATCAAATGATGTGTGTCAAATTTGTTTGAATTATATGAAAGCACATGGCCTCTTTGACCTTAAATATAATAACAAATATAGGTTTGGGGCACAAATATAAGTTAAACTAAATAAGATTTTAATACTTCATTTTCTTTTCTATGTCAAACCATTATCAAATAATGCGCTGTCAAAGTCAAACTTTGAATTTTTGGCCTATAGCCAATAGTTGTTTGAATAGCATAAACTATTCTAATCTACCACTTGACTACTAGAGACAGAGTGTAGGGATGTGAAATACAAATACAAAAATTATCTTTGAAAAAACAATTTTTTGTTAGTACATCGTTAAAATACAGAACTTACCAATGGTGTATAAATTATGACTGAATGTTTAACAGTTAGAAAGTTATGTTTTTTTTCTTTTTGTTGCGTTTTGACATAGAATAAGAGAGAGGAGAACTTGTCGCTGGCTAAGCTGGCGAGACACACCCCTAGCTCAAAAGTTAAAAAGTTGAAAATGAGTTTCCTAGACGATATATCTACTTATTAAATAAGAGATTTAATAGTAGATCAAGTATTAGTAGTAAATTTCTAGCTTACAAAGCTGGTTTCGTTTATATTTATGAACTTTACATGCTTAGAATGTAAATATTGAAGGAAATAAACAAATTATTGGGTTTTTTCGTCTGAAAAAAATTCAAATGTGCTTTAAAATTCGTCACAATTCATGCGAATGTGTTTAGTACACAAAAACTATTGGAATATCTGCAGAATATTAGCTTTACAAAGCCTGACATTTTTTGTTTACAAAATTTTTCTAGACTATCACCAAAACTGTCCATGGCCATTATTTTCTTTAAGTGAGATTTTCCACTTAGTAAGCGCCACTTAAGACTTACAGCAATAAAACTTGATAGAATTATGGCCAGGCATGATATCTAATATGGAAAAAAAAATATCTTTGTTCTCTATCCTAACTTCTGTATTGGTGAAAACAAAAATATATTTTCATTATAAGAAAAAAAACGAAATTAACTTTAAAGTAAAAAATCCTCATTAAGCATTTTAAATGGCATTTTCTAAAGTAGTCAGTAGACAGTTTTAATAACTAGGTCGACTAGGAGTCTAGGACTAGATTAATATTAATAGTATAGACAGCCCAAATAGTTTGATACCAAAAAAGAATTACTATTACTAGGAATCACATTTATGGATATCTTCGACATTTACTTTTGTTAAAAAATGAGCTTGAATTATTGTCAAAAGTTCATATAGATGTTATAACAGTTATATATATTAAAATGATTGTTCTCATTTTCTTTAACTCCTCATAAGTATTGCAACAGAGAATTTGACGATGAAAAAATACTTATTCAACATCAAAAGGCAAAACACTTTAAATGTCATATTTGTTATAAAAAATTGTACACAGGTCCTGGCTTGGCCATTCATTGCATGCAGGTAAGAAAACTGTCTGGTCATAATGAGAAATGATAAAAATGGCAAAGTTCTTTAATGGTAATAACACTTTGTTGAAGATAGATTTAAATCAAAACCAATCTTTCCCTTTCTATTGGAAGTGCCAACACTATCTTCTGCCAAGTAGTTAGTTTTTCTTGCCATAAATAATCAATATATGCTAGTTATTCTTTAAAAAAAAAAGGCATTTGGACATGATATGGGCATTAAACATAAATAAAGCAAAAAATAAAACACCCAGTATCATTAAAATGAGGTGAAACTATAAATTGATCTAACTTTGTCTATTCAAGGTTCATAAGGAAAAGATTGACAAAGTGCCAAACAGTCTTCCAGGGAGAAACAACACAGAAATAGAAATATATGGCATGGAAGGTATTCCAGAAGAAGATGTTAAAGCACATGAAAAAAACAAGAACAAAAAATGTAAGAGTGGTCATCTATTTAGTCTATTATGCTTTATCACTTCTGAATTTCAATGCTCTGTCTGCTAAAATGTTTCTTTTTTAATAGGAGGTCTTTGTATTTACATGGTGTTTTGTGGCTAAGGTTAGGCTGCTGAATTAAGTGTGTTAAAGTCTACCTCTCAGTATGTCTTTAACCACAATTTTTTTTTTTCAAATAATGTTAGCCCTGCGACATCCATGGTGTTACTTTGAAGTTCCTTGCTATTTGAATTTCTAGTTGCAAACTAACTAGTTCGCTATGCAGATACCATTAAAAAGAACTACAGAAGTGTGAAATTCTGTAGTTTAGATAAAGTGAAAAAATTGACGCTACAGTATTTAAGACCTGCATCTTTAATAGCCTGTGACGAGTCATGACCGATAGTGATATGCTCAAGTTCACCCATTTGTTGTGCATACTTGTTATTTGTCAGGAAAAGAGTGTATGCTGTTGGTAGTTTAGTACAGTAAAAGTCAGGCACTTGAATTATTTTTTTTTTTTTTTTTTTTCAGTAGCAGAAACAAACAGTGAGCTAGACTCAGGTGATGACAGCAACAGTAACCCTCCAACCTCGATGAGTGCTACGCCAATGATGAATGGCATGCCTATGGCATCTATACCACAGCCTATGCCATTTGCGCCCGGCATGCCTGCAATGCCAAACCCAATGATGCCTGGCCCCATGGGAGGTCCTATGATGAATCCCATGGGAGGAATGCCTGGACCAATGATGGGAGGACCTATGGGTGGAATGAGTAAGTTGTTTCATGTCACACGTTTTTAGAAAGCTTAAACTCTTTGCTGCTGTTTAAATTGTTCAGTCACTGGAAAAAATTAATTATCTTCAGCAGCATTAGCTTCTCCTACATCAATCACCCTGTCATCACCATTATTTTGTATGACATTAAAGTTAAAAAGCAAAATAAATGCCTTTATAATGATTTCAATATGTTATTGGTGTTTTAGATCTATAAAATTGAAAATAATTTAAGACACCTGTTTTTATTTTTATTAAGTTGTAATATTTTTTTAAACTATTTCAGCACCTATGGGCCCCATGGGGTGAGTATATCTTGTTAAACATTGGCAAATTAAATCTTAAAGATCTAAAAGACTGAATATTAAGTATATAAATAATGTTGGGAAACTATCTTAGTATGACAGAAATTTTTATTTTAACTAAACAACATGGGATGTCTTTAATAATTCAAACTTTTAAAATCTATAATTTTAAGGAAGTTTTGATAGCAATTTTTTTGTTAAGGTTTATGTGTTCTTCAATTCTTCATTATATAGAAATTGACCTGAAATTATAGTATATACTATCACAGATTTACATTAAAAAAATAATACCTGGAAAAAAAAAAAGGGTAGAAAATATGATTTGAGTCTACCAAAAAAAGTCCAAATGCGTAATGCTGATGGTCAAAATGCATATAATACTTACGCAATCCACTATTTTGTCATATATATATATAATATTAGATCTAGATGTCATGATTAGATCTACAATCTAATCTAGATCAATACAGATGATATCTAGATCTGGATCTATGTCTATATAATGAATATAATTTACTCTAGATCTGGGCTTAAGAGTGTTCCGATGCCGTGGATACGCTACAAACGTAGGTCTTCTCCAAACTTTCGTAGGCCTACCTTCATCCTTGATCTATTCTATACTAAGACTAAGAATCTAGTCTAGAGATTGTAGAGAATCATGACATAACGTAATGACTAGCTAGAACTAGATCTATTCCTGTATAACAAGTTATCTAGATCTAGACTAGATATCTACAATGTCACTCAATGTGTTTTGAATCGATAGCACTTCAATATTTTTTCTATACAAATGAATAAGGGAATCAGGGATTCAACATAATTTCTACTAATAAACTTACAAAAAAAAAGTCACGTTGGTGTATCAGCTAACTGACGGTACCAACCCGCCACTCCCTCACTCTTCATTTCTAGACTAAATCTAATTGCTTTTAAGAACCAATCAACATATAGATCTGGACACAATGTGTTCCCCCACCTTTTCTGCCCCCCCCCCCCCCAACAGGACGGCTTAGTGTGACCGCTCGTAAGCTAGTCAAGAGAGGGTGAAAAAAGGATACGAAATGCGTAATGCGGCGGGTTAAATGCCTATTTGTGTACTGACTGTAATTTTTGGGAGATTTAGCATAACGGTAGGCAGGTCTGCAAGTGTGATGGCAGTAATGATATTGTGTTGATGTGAGTTCCTTTTAAGTCTTTTAATTGCAAAGAATTTAATAATCATATAATTTACATAAAGCTAAAATTCATACACAAGGAATGCCTTAGATGTTTTTGTTCTAATTGTTGACAACACACCCATGTGACCAACTCTCCAGTCCATTAATGGAACAGGTACACTTCTCTTGACTATGTCTTACGATCAGCCACCCACGTCGTACAACAACTGTGTCACCACAGACATACAAATTAGATCAAAAGTAATTCGAATCCAAAATCTCTTGAATATAACATTTAGAAACAGAAAAGAATATGTTTAGATCTTGAAAAAAAAATTATATATAATAATTGGGTATAATTTTTTATTTGTTTATGAATGAAGCATATATGTACTACCTAAACTTTGACCAGCTGTTGTTGTTTTTTTTTTTATACTTAAAACTAAGAAACTTCATTTGTACTTATTTTCAACTAAGGTGTTTTTATGCATAGTTGATGGCATAAAGAACCGCAAAGAGTTTTATTTCTTTTTTGACATAAACTAACATCTATGTTTGATTTTCAGGATGGGTGGACCTATGATGAGGCCTGGTATGAATAATATGGGGCCAATGAATAATATGAATGGAATGAACATGCGGCCGCCAATGCCAAATCCCAACAGACCCTTGTTTCCAGCTGCAGCTCAGGTCAGTAGCTGAGAAAGTTTTTTTGTTTTTTTCATGCTGTTTATTGTGTGATCTCTCATAGAAAGTAGCCTACTTTACACACATTAATTCTAAAATCCTGTTTTATACAAAGTCAGAAAGTAGCCTACTTTACACACATTAATTCTAAAATCCTGTTTTATACAAAGTCCAAAACATCCCCCAAAGTCTTCAGTAATTTGTAATGTTTCTGTAATCATTGAAAAAATAATGAAACAGGATTTTGTTTTGTTTCTTTAATTGTGAACAGTCATCAACTTCTGCATCCTCTTCCTCAATGGGAACAGTTCGACCAACATTCCCAGCAGCAGCAACAGTAGTGTCTGGTTCCAGTAACTCAGCCACTATTACTGGAGCACCAACTATAAAAAAACCAGAATCCACCTCAGGTTTGACTTCTAAGTTAGTCCACCCTGATGAGGATATCTCACTGGTAAGTTAACTTCTTATACGTTTATAAAGTGCCGTTTGTCCTGTTAACAAAAAAAAAGGTTAGTGACTTTTTTCCAAGACCAAAAAGGTTTGCTTTTAGTGGGTCATTTCTGGTTTTAAAAATTTGATATAAAACTAGCAAAATTTAGAGCTTAGATATTTTGTTTAGAATTACGAAAGAAATTGCTACCTTTATCATTAAAAATTACTAATTCCATAGACAGTAAATTATGTGAAGCTTTTTATTTGTTTAGTGTCAATTAACATGCTGTGCTGGCCATGTTCTAGAAACTATATTCTAAATTTTAAATTAAAAGAAAAATATTATCTAACTAATAAGATTGTCATTTTTAGCCTATGGGTTTAAACTGTTTTCTTTTGTTACATTGTTGTAATTTAGACTGGTCTTATTCTTTCCGAGGCTACCTTAACAGGTAACATGGCATTCATTGTTAATTAGGTACAAATTGTTTGGTTGTAGTGTGCAAGTAAAAATATTACAGCTTTTATTGTCTTTTGTGCATCTGAACTGTTTTAAAAATATACCATTGTTGTGCATATTAATTCATTTTGTATTATTGAAGACTATTTCACTTCAGTTTAAAATGTCTTCACAGGAAGAACTGCGAGCTAACATGCCCAAGTATCTAAAGTCTGTTCCAATGGCAGATTCAAATATTGCTGGAAGTCCAATAGCAGGTTCACCATTGGCTTCAGGTGGTCCCATGCCACCTGGTCCGATGGGGGGCATGAACATGGGTATGAATATGGGCATGGGAGGCCCTAATATGATGCCAGGTAAATAATAATTTTTTTAACTGTTAATTTCTATGTAAGTATGTAAAACAATTTTTTTTTCTAAAA